TTCTCGAAACGGGCATTAATCAATATAATACCAGTTTTGGGGTTACTCAAAAGAACCCAAATAGCAAAAATATAAATCTGTAAGATTACCAAACCCGAAAATTATTAAATTTATTCTTCCAACGTGCACAAATCCTGTGTTGTTTTAGTTAGAAATTAATTGACATACGACATTAACGCGCATTTAAAATAATCCAAATCGAAAATATCTTTTCGAACAAATCGAGATCGATCAAACACGAAAATAACGCCCACGCCGGTGTCACTACCGCTTCACAACACGAAACATCTTTATATTATCTCCTTTTCCGCGACGAATTAATTACCAACAACACGTTTTTTCTTCCATTTTCCACGCCAAACTCGACGAAATCTAATTTATGCTCGAATAAATCAATTTTGGAACGAACGATTAGGAAACAAACTTGTTTCTTCAGTGTAACTACAAATCGACGTCTTAAATAATGGTAACACTACGAAAAAAGGTTTCTTGAAAAGCATTTTTTGATGAAATATATGAAATTAGATGAATACGATCCTGGGAAAGGAAATTAATCGAGGCGTCTCTCGACGTCTCACAACGCCTTGAAAAAGTCGTTCAATTACGGTCGAAGATGGCGATGAAAATTACAGGAAATCATCGTGTTTTATATATGTAGAACTGATATAAAACGCTAATTATCGACATGAAAGAGATTTTATTTTCACGCGTTCGCGTTCGCAATATGGCGACTGTTAAATCTTTTATATCGCTCGAGAAATTGCTCGTTTTATCAGCAATTTCACTTAAATAAATACCAAAATGATCGTTCGAGAAGTAGGCCGTTGTGTAAACGTCAAATATTCCAAAGCCACCCTAATATTTAATAACATCTAAAGGAATATTTCTATATTATTGTATTTAATACAGTATATAGTGATGGGATGTCAGATGGTTCGTGATTGATGAGAACAGATTTATAATTAGCGGACACTTCCGGTGTGTTTGTGTTGGCAGCCGTGTTAGACGATGCTCGCGCATTCTCCTGTCACTCTATTGCCAACTTTATTAAATTAACATCTGTTTTTATATTTGTAGCGAGTTACGCATTATAGAAAACTTACAACCCCATTATAAAAGATATTTCGAAACGCGTGACGAATTATATAGAAAATTTCCAGCGGTTTTGTTTCTAATATTTGAATTTCGTCATATTCGATGAATTCTCTCTCTCTGTGGTGTCGTCCGCCATTTATTAGGTATTATTCGAAAACCCGCAAACTCTCGGATATTTACACAAATCAAATTGGAGAATAGTGTTGATAATGTTTGCATTTAAGCGGAACAAATACAAGATAATTATTAATTTTTTTTTCAACTCTTGACGATATGTCGTTTGTTTTATCGTCAATTAAGGATCGTTTAACAACGTATTTGTTTTATTTTTACGACATTGAAAGACTCGCAAGTCTAATAAAATGGTGTTAAAATAGAAGATGAGTTTCCTGTTTGATGATATAGAGATTCTTTGATTTAACATGTTGGTTATATATTTTCCCAAAAATTGTACACATTATTTTTTCTAGTGTAGTAGCCTTATTTTGGGTTTACACTAAGAAAAAAGTTACCTCTCCAAATAACTTCATATCGCAAAATAAAACTGGCTAATCGTCCGAAGCTGGTACATTTAAACGAGAAAATAAAAAAAAAACTAGTACAATTACGATAATATTTTCGACGACGAGTTCTCGTTAGCAACGCGAGGAACACGTTCCTCTGTGTAAATTCTCTGCGATGTACATCGGTCGAATTTTCATCGAGGCACACCTTTCGTAAACGCCTTTGTCGATGATTATTAACCAATCCGATCTTATGTATTTATTATACCCGTCCTGATATCAAGTGCGAAGGTAATTTTGACCCGTCGAAGGTTGGCCGTATTTGCGATTTAACGAGCCAATAAAGATCGCAATTTTTTTTTGTAATCATCGCGCGGCGTAATTAATTTATAAACGATCTCGCGCGCGCGGTTTTTATTTTTTATTTTTGTTCATTTCACACCGGCGGAGATAACGCGATGTATTTAATGTTTGCAGTTCACACCTCGGTAGAGCATTTTTATTAACTCGAGTGAGTCACTTGTGTTTGAGCGTTGACTATAAAATAGCAATCGATTAATTTCGTGAAATTATTCGTAATTAAATCCGGCGTTTGTTTGGAATAGAAGAAACCGCTTAAACGGTTTTATTATAGAGGCGATTTCCTCGTCGAAATCGGATTTTATTTTATTCTTTCGTTCGGTTTGTTTGTACAAATCCGAATCGGCGTGTCATTTTATAAATAGAAAAGACGACGACACGTCGACGACAAATAATAGCTCCAGTTCTTGTTAATTAAAAGTGGGTAATCGTTTTCTCTATAAATATTTACACAAAGCGGCGCATTCTATTCATCTCGCTCCTCTTTTATTTTTCGATATAAAAATCCGCTTTATATTGAGGAAACACGTGTTTTTCTTACCGAGAATCTCCTCGTGTCATTTCCACTCTACTCTATACTGGTCGATTCCGATCGGAGTGAAAAAACGACTTATTAGCGACTCGTTAGCTTATCTAAAAGTGTCATTAATTTATTTAAAAGTGTCATTAGTTTTTGTTGAAAAGTCATCGTCTAGAAGAGTATTTAGCTTATCTAAGAGGTTACTTATAGTTTTTCTTGAAAAGTCGTTAGATCATCTAAAATTGTGTCTTTAGCTTCTCTATAGAAGAGTCGTTACTTTATGTATATAAAATAATAATTATACTGCTCCACAAAAGTTAAGGAAGTTCACAAATATTGAGATTAATTTAGAAGTTGCAGGTGTTTTGATCACCAAATTTAGTATGAATTGTAGATGTTATAGGTGCAAAAAATCCACTCATATATGAGAGAAAACATTTAATTTCGCATATTTGAAAATTTGGTGATCAAAAAGTCTAACTTTTAAAATAACCGCAAAATTTGCGAACTTTCTTAACTTTTGTGAAGCAGTTTAGTTTACATATTTGTGCTTCGAACTTGATGATGCACATAAAATGCATTGTTGCTTTGCTTTTAAAGAAATTTTATTTTATACATATTTATTTTCTTTTTAAACTGTTTTATCAGTGTAAAATGTTTCGACGAGAACACACGCAATCCGGACAGGTAACACAATACAATGTGAATAGTTTTAACGCGTTTAATTACATCAGAAAACGATGCACGTAACGTGCAATGGCTCCGATAAAATCGCCGCAGATGATAATTATTATTAAAGGCCAATTTGAGTAGATAAAATTTTAAAAAATCCCGATATATTCATATTATAGTTATTATAGTAAATTAAATGTTTCGTCTATACAGGGTGTTATGATAGAAAAGTTATTTTTTTTTTCTAAAATTTTAGCACCCTGTAGCTCGAAAACTAAGAGGTTTAGGACATACATTGATATAAACTTTTCTTCTTAAAATCAATCAAATATTCACATCCTGAAGTATCGGCATTCAATTAATTAACACCCTATCTAAGAGATGCTTTGAATAACTATATCTGTCAATGAGTATAGTTGATTCAGTGGTTGGTTCAAATTAGCTAAATTTGTTAAGTTCTTACACTAAAAAAAAACAATTACTAATTACCGCTAGTATATTATTTTCACATTCACGCGCTTATACGAAAATTAAAATCCCCTTCGAGTGCATGGGTATAACCCCGTGAAAAGGTCACGCGCTGCCGTACTTATAAGAGCCTTTAGTTATTTTTTTTTGTGTGTGTGTAAATGCTTTTTGACAAGGCGCTAAACGCCGCTCTATTCAGATAAAAACCGAATCCGGTTTTCCGAACCGAAAACACGACCGCAACCCCTCGAAAAACGGGCTCGTGCTCACCTGTCGAGAGAAATCATCCCGTTATAGTTTATATACCCATCAGCAACACATTTATTTTTATGTTAAAAAAATGCTTAATACCTCTCAAAACCCACCAAATTTCATTTGAATAACTCGTCTGGTTTGAGAGATATAAATAAATCTTTTTTAAGAAGAAACTTTCACACAAATGTCATTATTTTTTCATGCAAAATCACCTCCTAAAGTTTGTCGCATTTATTACTTGTATATTGATATAAACATTTCTTCATAAAAACCATCCTAATATTCACATCCTGAAGTATTACTCAATTAATTAACACCCTAAACACCCTACAACAGGTTTTGTTAAATGTTAAATTGAAATAACCGCTGAATCACGAATCACAAATCACTAAAGCTTCTTTTATACCTGTCGCATAAGCGCCGGAATGATTCGACGAAAACGCCGTGTTATTATCATTATATATTTTTTTTTTTTCGTGAGCTCACATCGGCGCGAATTAAACGGTAGCAGTAGCACAAACTCCGGGTTATAATTCGCCCTAACGACTTAATGATAGTGCAACCATCGGTTTTCGAGTGTTTTTGATACGGGGCGATCGCCCGGTAATTTCCGTGGGGTAATTTTCGGTTATTTCGTCGTGGATTATAATGTGTTTGGGTATCGAATTTTCGGGTGGCGCTTTGATTTATAGCGTTTTAAAAGTCGGAAGAGGACGAAAGAAAGGATAAATAATGTCACTGTTATTATATCAGGCGGACGGTCCTTATATTTTTTTTTCTTCGGGAATTCAGCGAACGGGTTAATTTATTCGCGGTTTCTATTGTAATTAGGCGAGGTTCGAATTTGTTTAAGTGAATGTAAAAAATTGGATAATTTCGATGATATAATGTGGGAAATATTCATATGTAAAAATAGGGAAGGTTTAGTTTTTTTGCAATAAAATTTGACCACCCTGTAAAAAAATGACTGTAAAAAATAGGTAATATAAAATGGGGAATATAAATGTGAAACAAAATTTGTTTTTTATGGAAATAAAATTTGACCAGTCTGTATAATCGATTCTCAAGGAAAAATTTGACCCAAAAACGAAAAATTTGTGGCAAAAAAATATAACCTATGCACTTACCTCGTTTCTGCATGAACGAGAAGAGATCATCTAAAAACTCCTTCCTCTTCGGATCATCATTTATTTCGTACAACTGCAATAGAAAATAAATATTAAATATTTTGTTGAAGCGAGTACCAAACAATATTTTTTACTACTCTTTTTAAATGTTACCTAAATTAATTTCTGCACCTCACCTTTAATAATACAAATGCAATTACCTAATTTAAATTTCGATGATCATAATAATAAAAAAATAATTTCATCAATCTTATATACCATGTATGTGTGTGTGTATATAAAAATAAATAAATTATGTTGATTTTTATTTCGTTTTTTCTTTCCACCTAACATCATTGGTAAAGTTTATAATCGCCTTAATCTTCTAGATGGTAATCAAAACGGTCGTGATTTATATAAAATTCATGCAAATTAACGTAAATTGGATTCGAACAATCCAATAATTCTAATCGACACCTTCTTCACAGATTAAACCATAGGCGTACCGTAAAAATTTCAACGCAATAAAATTAATAATTTACATCAAAAGGCGCGGGGTTAAAAAAAATTAATATAATCAATAGGTAATAGACACATACCCTTCACATATTATTATTATATAAATATCCCTTTCGAATAAAGTTAATATGCAAGTAGGTTATATGCAGTAAATTTTTTCGTACGTTTATAACAGCCCAAAGGCTTTCGAATATCTCGGGCTATTAATAGCCGATAGTCCACTCGTCGTCCGATAACTCATCCCATTAATACGGAACACCTACGTTTATAACAAATCGATTAAAAACCCGAAGGAATTAATCAGAATACCATCGAGAGGAGTCGGATCGAAGGTGGCGTGGAAAGTGTAACACTCCTCGAAAACAATTAATTCCACCTCTGGTAATCTATTTATTATTTTTTTTTTTCGTTTAGGTATACGCTTATGCGCCCGAGAACTCTTGCGACCTACACCGATCATCTATCACGGCCATTGATGACACTCACCAAATTAAAAATGCTACATGAGATTGGAATTGTATGTAGATACTTTTTTTGTATTAAATAATTCGCTGGTGCGCCACTGGTGCAATGAAGTTGTAGCATCAAAAAATGTACTTATTAAATTGTTCATACGAATTGAAGTATAGCGGCCTTTTATTAAACTGGTGATACAGCCATTCGAGTATGAAGAAAGTACCCAAAGCCCAGGTACTATAATTTATATATCAGATCGGTTTGTTGTGGTGGAGCTCGAAGTGTTGATCGTCGATGGGATTTCTTTTAAAGGGGTATTGAAAAATGAGCGTTCCCTTAATATTGTGATATCTTACGGCCCCCGGAGGTGTGTAATAAAGTACATTTGTAGTTAATAAACGCTGCCGAGAAGAAATTAGTTATTGGTTTGATAAATGTTTAATCTGCGCTCCCATCTCGCTCGATTTTTATGGAGCTTTTATATCCGTTTTAATTGCTTAATTAATCAAAAATAATAATTGGAAACCTTTATCGCAAGATACTAACGATAACTACCCTTATTAAATATAATTATAATGCTGTAAACTCCGCTTTATTACCAACCATTTATCAATTACTCGTAACTTTGTATACAATGCAGAGACCACAACAATAACCATCTACAACCAGAAATATATAATAAAAATAATAATGCAGAGTTATTATGAGGGAACCGTGGGCGGGGATGGTTTTATTAATTTTTCATTCCCGCATATATGCTGATGGGATTTTATTATTACAGGTACTTTGAGCAAGAGAATGAGGTGGTTTTTTTTTCGGTTTCGTGCGATAAAAGTAGAGGCGTGACCGCCGCTTTGAAAAATGATCTAAAAATATAACCAACCCTTTTCCTTAATATAAAAAAAATTGTACTTGTAAAAATTCGTTCAAACACTCGACGAATTATCGCACTCTATTAGAAGCGAGATGGCTCTTTTTATCTCTTCGTATTTATATAATTTATGGTGTAGTTTTCTGGTACAATTTAGGCCCGATAACGTTCCGTTTATATCGAAGATTGATCACCGGCGATTTACCAAAACGGACTCGAAACTGATGATCCCTGATCGACGGAGAGAGAGAGAGAGCCTCTTGATGAGCGCTAACAGCCGTTTGATTGATGCCCCTTTACCTTCTTCCCTTTTCCTCTCTTTAAACCTCCTCATTCACCCGCTCTCTTTATAAATACCATCCTTATTAATGCAGAAAAGAAACGGGTTTATTAATTTGATTGTCGATCAAATGTTGATTGATCAATCATTGTTAGTTAGTTAGTACAGTGTACTTGTGCAGTAGAATAATTTGTTTTGACAGGGATATTAAAAGGATATCAGAAATTTTGAATCTTTGGCTAGTAGAGTAGATTTGAAGTAGATTCGTAGTAGGTTCGGGGTAGAGTAGATTCGGAGTAGAATTGGAGTAGATTGATTGATTCAAATAGAGTAAATTCGAAGTAAAACAACAGCTCTCGCTGAACAGTGACATCACTACGCTAGTAGACACAAGAAGTGGGGGAAACCAGAAGAGGACGGAGATACTTTTGGTACAAGGTAAGCGAGGTAAAGAGAGAGCTTCGGCAATGTTCCGGGGCCCCATTGTTGCCCGTTCTGCGGGGTTGCGGAGGTTAAACACGGTCATTAATAACGTTGCTTAACTAATCTGTCGGTCGGAGTCATCTATCTTTACAAGTTACTCCGCTTTTAGCGCTTCGAATTCGAATAAGCGGGGCCCTTAAGGTAACGGACGCGAGTTTTGTATATCGGTGTACAAAATCGCGTGGGCCTTGTACAGGTTAAAATCGTCGTGACGTCACAACTTGGAAAGTTTGAGTAAGCTATATGCTTGATTAACTCGAACGTGTATACGTTAATTTAGCGATTTAACGGTTCGTTTTATTCGCAATTTACAATCCATTCGGATCGGATAAAACCCACGCGATGACAATAAAAAATACCGGGAATACGTTACGATAAAAATAATTTTTTAATTAATCTCGCGATTTTTCCATGTAAAATTTCCCTGTGTGTGTGTGTGTTTTTTATTGTCAACTCGGCGTTTATTAGAAATCGTTTATTAGTCGCACGTGGTTTTTAATTAATAATCGGATTTATTTCGATAGGATCATTTCTAAATTTAGAAGCTCGTAGCGTTTGATTAACGGCCGCTTTTAATTGTCGATAATAAAATTATTAGATGCTGTTTAGAAGGTAAACTGTTGATTTTCTAATCGTTTGCGTTGTTTAATCAAGCGTATTAGTTGTGTGGAAAAATGTACTACTTACTAGGTATATAAAAACCAATGTCGAAATCGTAAAACGGGTAAAGGGAATTTTAATATAATGTATCGTTAAAATTAAATATTTCTATTTAATCTGATGATGTATGAAATTTCTGTCGATTTCTCTCATCACATAAACTATTAAATTACATGAGATAAGACTATAAAATCTACATAATATGGAAGATTTTTTTTAAATGTCTTCTAACGTAAACTAATATAATATATAGAGGCTTATTAAAAAACCATCTGGTTGATACTCGAATGATTAATGGGCGATATTCGAAGGCGTTACATGAAATTTTCGGTATTTTATTAAATTTTATTTCTCTCATCCAACTCGCTTCTTTTGCCCCTTTTTGTATTAACCAAATCGTATAATTACAAGCTTATAATTAATCCCTAGCCCATCTCTGTTTTACTTTTCGTTAGAGTTTAATTAACATTTTTACCAGCAATTAATACTCGCACATCACTTATAGGGTTCTTTAATGAAGTTCGGAAAAAAAAACTATTATTAATGAAACGTGAAATAATCTATACATACCACAGTGAAGAAATCCAATTTGTAGGTAATATTTGCATTTGGCACACGGAACAATTACAGTAAAATTTTCATATACGGTCATTAAACGGCCCGGTTCGGAACAATAAATAGAAAGTTACAAATTCATGCATAAAATATTTCATTATATGATTTACAACTAAATAAACGCGTACATATAACGTAACGATTCCACTGTTTATTGTATTCGAAATGTCTTAGGTGTGACTTTAAATAATCACAACCCAGTTTTGGGGGAATATACATTATATGGACATTTCGGGTCGGATCCGTCCCTGGTTATTCGATGCGAAATTGTTTTATATTATGGTACAGTAAAAGATATTTAAACCAATTACTCGACGGGCATACAATACAAACAATAATTTTTCATGAATAATTTCAATGTAACAGCGCCATTGATAAGTCGAATTAGCATATACGTTTCTTTTTTAATTCACAACGTTGCCGGATTTGAATTAATTTACGAACATTTTCCGTGAAAATTTATTAATATTATTGTCACCTTGAAGGATTCTACTACGCCTTTGTCGTTTCAAATGGTGACAATAAATAATGTCACGAAGCACTTAAAAAGCTCCTTCTGTGTTATTATATTATTACCTGTTTTCTTTTTGTGTTTTTTTTTAGCTTGAATTTAAATTGTGATAAGCATTTGGTCTCGTTATCACTTATAATTGTTATATACGTTCTCGATGCGGGCGGAAAAACCGTGTTGTCAATAAAATTATACCTCTTTAATGGCGTCGTTATTGCATAGAAAGTTTATAAACGAATGTTGAAAAATTATTCATCGCACAGGCCCGTATTCAGACATAAATTCAAACAATGCGTTAAGCGATTAGAAAGCGTATAAATTTCGAGGTAATACGGTCCTGCGTCGAGCTTGGTTCGTTGGCCACGTACCGATTATCAATTAACAACTGTTTTATTTTAATTACGGCACAGTTATCGCCGTTATACAATGAATTTGCTGGAATATGTAGGTATGAAATAATTTAATGTTATCGAAAAAGTTTGTTGCGAATGATACTCATTTTTTTTTATACGAAAAAATACGTTTTTTTATAGATAATAGTGAAGTATAGTTCATTCGCTGCAACTTACGCAAATGTGCTTTATCTACAGGGTGTTAATTAATTGAGTGCCGATACTTTAGGATGTGAATCTCAAAAAAAGCTCCTTAAAAATAATTAAAAAGTGTGTACAAAAATACAGGTAGCAGCCAATAATTTTTGGAAATCTATTCGAAATGAGCGACGTGTTTGGGAGTTTAGTTGATAATTTGATAATGAAAATTTAATATACGCCCGAACATATTATGCCGAGTATATCCCGGTCGAAAAGGCAGTAAAAGTAGACCGAAAGAGGTTTTATGTTTCGCAGGTGTTGCACACAAAAGCGAAACACGCCACTTCAAAAGCGCAAGCCAACAAAGGAACCCACACTGTATTAATTTTTATACCGATATTTTCGACCTCGTATATGGAAATCGGGGTTTGTTATTTTTATTTTTTCCTCCTTTTAATATTCTAATAAAAAAATTAATTGCCGCCGAGCTTTTGACGTTCGGTTAAAAGGCCGACGAAATTTCATTAATACAATAGAATGATACGAAATGAAGTTCAAATATAAAAAAAAACCGAGCCGAACATAAAAATTTTATGTTCGCCCGAGAAGAACGTATTTCATATTAATATTTAGCTCTTTTTTAATATCAACGATAGTTCCGTTTTTACGATCGCCGGATTAATATATTCCGACCGCAATAAAATACTTTTTTACACTCAAAGATCCTTTTTCATAACAGAAATATTAACGACTTCTATTTCATCGAAAGTTTTACGAAGAAAACCGTTCACTGTTCTCTCGAAAATCCCACATTTATCGCTCCATTTAAACCGATGAAAAATAAAATACATTGCCCCGTATTCAGCGCCCCATGTTTAACTTTAGAGTGACTCTAAAGTCGCGCCTTTAACTTGACAGTTTTACATTGGTTGTTATAGAGTAACTAAGGAGATTCTTTCACTTTTGACAGTTTTACATTGTTGTTATGGAGTAACTAAGGAGATTATTTCAAATTGACAGTTTTACATTGGTTGTTATAGAGTAACTAAGGAGATTCTTTCACTTTTGACAGTTTTACATTGTTGTTATGGAGTAACTAAGGAGATTCTTTTAAATTGACAGTTTTACATTGGTTGTTATGGAGTAACTAAAGAGATTATTTCACTTTTGACAGTTTTACATTGTTGTTATGGAGTAACTAAAGGGATTCGTTTATTT